AGTACTGTTTGAATCGTATGAAAAATTGCTGAAACAAATGAAGGTTGGTATTCGCAGGCACACGCACAGGTTACGCCCCGGCAAAGACCCATACACACGAGGGTTTTTCGCTCCTGGCACACGCTCTTGTGTTACTTTGCATGACAAGTACACACGAGAAAAATATGTCGTGGAGCTTTTTGCGGGAGGGCAGAAATTCTGCTGCCTTGGCTGAATTAAAAACAGGGCTTCGAAACGACCTAAAGAAGGCCAGTAGATTAGAACAGCTTTACATTTAAGGGTCATAATAAAGAAACCGATTTAGTAAAGAAACCACTTTGTGAAATAATATAGCTATGTCAGGGGGGAGCAAAATTAAGTTTCACTTGATTGATAATTTTCTCTATTTTTTGTTAAGTTTTGGTAAACCGTAAATCGGATATAATTTTAAGATATGCCCCACCAAGATAGAATTTAAAGAGAAAAAAAAATAAACGATGAGGCGGGTGCTTTTAAGTCATAACGACCTACTATGTATAGTTTTAAGGGTTCCATTAAGGCGTATTTCTGAAGCGCCTCGACGGGAAACAAGCCCAGGGCATTTAGCCGAGTCGTGTGAATCTATCGATCCTTATGTAGGCAGGTGTGACTAATACAAGGTTTCAATTAAAGCTATTCACCGGACCGGTGGTCTACCTCCGCCTTTAAAACCTTTTACCGCCGTCTCTTAAGTCTGCAAGCAGGCCCTTCTGTTTGGGTTTCGCCTTACTGTCCCTTTTCCGAGCACAGCCGGCGGTCGCTTATGGAAAAAGTTATTGAAACCTCTGGTAATGTATGAAGTCACTCGATTAAGAATCTTTAGATTTATGATGCTAGTTAGTGTGTTTTCGGAAATATAGATGGAAATCGGTTTAGTCTGGAAGCGGGAGAAAGAGCATTAACGTGACATGGGCTACAAGATACCAGACTCGTGTAATTAAAAGCAAAAAAGTGTTTTAAATAGGCAGCCGCTCGCCTAAATTCGAAAGTCCAACAACTGTGAAAAGATGAACATGTTAGTCATGTTAGGGAGGAAACGGACACGATATACTGAAATCTTTCACTGAAAAATGCTGGCGCCTCTTAAGCGTTCCGAGCGCTTTGGAGACAGCCAGGAAAACATTAATATGGAGAAAAGAAAAAACATCTGGACCATGAAATACAATGAAATAAAGAAATAGTTTATGGTCAAAAATTTAAATTAGTAGAAATATTCCAAACAATATTTTTTTTAGATGCGCAGATCCAATGCAAACAATCACATGTAGTATTTTTCGAGTAGATATCTGCCTTATCATATGTTTATTTTTATAAGAGCCCTCACTTCATCGTTAAAGTGTGAGTTCTGTGCACAATCAAACTCAGTCGTCAGTGCTGAACGACGCTGATTAAAAATTCATGATCATGAAAGGTGAAAGAGATGAAAGTAGCTCGCTGATCTGCATAAGCCCCTAATTATAAATGGTTACGGTCAGAGATCAATGGATTAAAATCAATCCATGATTGGCTGAACCAGTGGAGAAAAGCTTTCGCACACAAAAGATCGCAAGTTGGGGGTTTCTCAAAACAGACATTTGGCCACGTGCAAATAAACGCAAAGTAATCTAGACAACTGGAGGAGATGCAAATGTCCATAGAAGCCTAACAAGAATTGATCACAAGTCACTTGTGCGCCGGTAAACAGATCTCGTCGAACCATTGGTCTTTTACTATAATGTTGGCGTAGGTCGGTGAGTTATTTAAATTTGGGCGATTTTGGTTTTCCGAATGGGTTGATTTTTTTCATTCTCTTTTTGCTTGCTCGAAAAATATCTTACACAAATGCGTTATAAAGTGTGGCTTTTTCGTTTTCCCGTCTCTGAGTAATAAAGGAAAATACATTTCCTTGCTTTTGCTTCAAAACATATACATTAGAATCAATATATTTTTATTCAACAGAAAGACGACAGATCGTCGATAGACGCACAATGGAACATCAACAAAACAGGAATACTTCATCGAAAATGTTTCAGGCATTGGTGGGGATCGATCGGACCCAAATTATCATTCATTTTCTTGTCGCTTCCATGCTGTGGTTGTTTGGGTGTTGGAATATTAGCTTCGCATGGATAATGATATTTGTTTTGATCTATGTTTTTGGAGAATATCGTTCAGAAGTTTTTAAACGGAAGCGTCAAAACTTCCGTAAGATGACGGATGAAGCAAATTTGTTCAAGATAAAAAGTTTCCCAGTACCATCTGTTTATCTTTCGGAGACAGAAAGCGCGACGTGGCTGAACGAGTTGATTAAAAAACTGTGGCCCTCCATCGAAGAAATGACAAAAGAGATAATTAAGGAACGTATCGAGCCTGAAATACAGAAAAACCTTCCTTCGGCATTGAAGACTCTTTCCTTCGACAAAATCGAGTTGGGGCAAAAGCCTCCTTTCATCGGAAATATAAAATCATATGGAAGTGGAAACAGAGAAAAGAGAGCTTCTGAAATTGTAATGGACGTCGACGTCACATACAATGGTGATGCGCAGGTGAAAGTAACAATCAAAAGTGTCACTTTGGGAATCTCCGATTTTCAAATACACGGCTCGCTTCGGATTATCTTAAAACCTCTTATCTCCGATCAAACTATCGTCGGCGGTGTGACACTCTTTTTTCTCAAGAGGCCCAGAATCGCTTTCAATTTGACAAACATGTTGAATGTGTTAGATTTTCCCGGATTAAAGACAACTTTGCGTGGCATTGTTGATGACGTCATCGCTAGTTTTGCAGTTTTGCCCAATAGGATTACAATACCCTTGGCTGAGAGCGTGGACCTTAGCGATCTGCAGTACCCAATCCCGGAGGGCCTCCTACGTGTGCAAATTCTGGAAGCGCGGGAACTGGTAAAGTCTGATTTTTCACTGATTGGCGGAGGTGCTCCCGACCCTTACGTCATCATGGAAGTTGGTGCGCAAAAGTTTCGCACTGAAACGAAGAACAATACTTCAAATCCGGCGTGGGAGGAAACCTTTGAGTCATTCATAGACAATTCCATTGGCCAAGAATTAGAAATCTACATCTACGACCGTGATATTGCTTCGAAAGATTCTAAAATTGGAAGTGTCGATATTAAAATTGGTTCTGTGGTGGAGGATGGCGTCCAAGAAATCTGGCTGCCTTTAGAAAAAGCCAAACAGGGAAAGATCCATTTGAACCTGGAATGGTTTTCTCTGAGCAGTGATCCACTGCATTTTAGATATACCAAGGGAAAGGAGTCCGTAGCTGTGCTGTTTGTTAAACTGATCAAAGCGCAAAATCTCCCAACCTCATCCAGGTTAGCTGTGACAAAAAAAGTTTTCTGTAAGGTATCCGTTGGAGATACAACGCTAAACAGTTTTCTTGCGCACGGAGATGAAACGGTCTGGGGGCAGTCTTTACGATTCCTACTTACAGATCCCCACGAAGAGGCCCGTATTGAAGTCATGGATGGTAACGAAAACAGGAGCATGGGATCTATGGTATTCACTGTGCGAAAGCTGATAGAGGAACCAGAAATGGCTCTACAAGACTCTTTCCGGCTGAGTAACGAGACCGGAAGTGTTGAGTGCAAGTTCATCCTTCGCGCATTGAAGACTTCAGACACCTCCAATGCACCAATGCCTTTACACTTTGGCCGGAAGTTTAACGCTTTGCACAACAATAAAATCTGTCTCCAGAGAACAGATACGCCCACAATGTTACCGGAAGTGGATGGTCAAGATGATCCACCTACCTCCACTTGCACCGAGAGCGACAGCAGCAGAGCCGCCGAGAAAACGTCTGGTAGCAGTTCCGGTTCCGGTTCCGGTTCGTCTCCCAGTGGGAGCATCGTAGGTGACACGTCTAACGGGCAAAGTCCCGAGGCTTCGGTTAGGGATTATATGTCCCGGGGAGAAGTATCATTGTGGCTTATATACGATCATCGTAGAAACAGATTGGTCGTCACTGTACTCAGTGCAAAGGAACTTGTGTCATCAGAACCTTTGTCCAAAACGAATCCTTACGTACAGATAAATCTGCTACCTTCTCGCTCCAAGAAATCGATTCGCAAGACGGATTTTTACGCCGGAAGTCTGAATCCCGTTTTTAACGAAACTTTTGAATACGTTATCGGTCTCGACCAGTTGAGCAGTAAATACTTGGAAGTGATCATCAAAAATGAGAGATTTGTCCAATTGCCCAGGAAACGCAGGGATCTGATTGGGTCTACTACAATAAATCTTTGCGAGTTGAGTCTGTCCGCTGGTGTGACGATGAACTGCGAGTTAACAAAATGAAAATCTTAGCTTAGTGTGCGACTTCCAGAAAACCCTAGCGGATGGTTTCACCCAAATGGAAGCGAGACACGATGCGTCAATGGTGATTATCAGCAACAAATACTCTTCAAGAGCACTGGGAACGAGTCGAGGATGTTGTTAACACTATAACACAAAATCTGTCGAATGACTATCAGCAAAAACAGATTTAGATTCTCTTAACTTATTTAATTTATGAGGCAAATTCTTTTTTTTCTTTTTTATTATAAAAGCATGATCTCCCTAATAATTTCTCTATCGCAAAATATGATAATAGTCAGTGCTCTTTTGAAATTTAGCCGAAGCCAAATAAGTTATTGTTATCTTGTGTAGCTGTAATCCATGTCCACTTTGTAAACATTTGTTGCACTCGATTCCACTTAAGTATTGGGTTACTATTCTTCATCTGAGAGACGAATTAACCGTCAGATTCTTACTTATCGCTTCTAGCAACGTAACGAATGTTTGCGAGGAACCAGGAAACGAATCCATTGATTTGTATTAGACGACAAATTTAATTAATTCCATCGCAAGCTCAAATAACTCAATTCAACATCATCATGATAACTAGTACTATACTTTTAATAATTAGTTATGACTCACATGACTATACGTTTTATGCAATTGAGACTTGAGGAATGAAAGTCGGACGCTTCTTTGCTGTATTGTGACCCGACGGTAATTAAAGAGCCATCGCCTTCCAACAAACTAAAAAGGGGGGCACATTCTCTGTATCAGATAAGGCTTGTAATAACATACATAAAAAAAATCAGGCGCGTCTGATTGGTTGAAAACGAGTGCATTTTTCGTGTAACACGTGCGCAAATTACAAATAGTGCTAACAAAATTTCGTCCGTCTGAACTTTTGTGATGTGTTTTTCAGGTAAATTATTAACGAGTAACAACAGGATTTCTTGTGCAACTTGATCTAACTTAGCACTTATAAATTTTTTCAAACACGACAAATCGCACTCGAAATCATGTTGTTACCTATACTTATATATTTCGAATACATTTATATTAGGGCGTTCTAGAGCGAGAGAGTGCCAAAATGAGAGGGGGTTCGAGATAAGGTAGTTCGCGTGATCCTTCAGAGAAGCGCAAACTGAAAAAATATTCTCCTTGAAACCTCAAGAATATTGAGAAGGAAGTCTCAATGAAAAATGGTTTGTACCATTGGTAACCCAAGGGCCTAGAGATCGTAAACAAGTCGTAAACAATAATTGTTATGACAACATTAATAATTATGATAATTTATAACAGCAAGAATAGTAATAATAACAAGAATGATAATGAAAATGATTATAATAATAATTGCCACACCAAGAAAGATAATTATGCGTTGATTAATTTATTGCTTCAATTCCCCCCCCCCCCTTCACCTCCACGAGTATTCCGACCGTGCCAGTGAGGGTGGGAAATTTGAACCTTGCCTGAGTAGGGCGGGGAATTTGAACCAAAAGTGTCAAGTATTTACAGCGGAGGTGTTTTAAGGTAAAGTGTCCACTTTTGCGATAGCATGGCTCAGAAGGAAAGGTGTAACAGGTCGAGGTTTTAAAGTTTAAATATTTAAATCAGTTGCTGGTCAATAAGTGGAAAGTTTTACCTTTTACGAAAAGCAAACCAGTCCCCGAATTAAAAATACTCGTTTCACCTTGTCTGTTTGGGATTTTTTGAATTACCTATGAAGAGTCGCGTTTTTTTACCGACAATATCCCGTTTGGAATGAGCAAAATAGACTCCTTACCAAAATTTCAGACTTCTTTGTAGAAAGCATCGCGATGCACAGGCAGCCCAAGCTCCAGCTGTGAGATGATCATCTTGCGAAATAAGAGTCATGGAGAAATTACAAGAGTTTGTGTGGAAATGTTTACGACCGCACTAAGGATAAAAAAGATACAGTCAAACTCTCAATAAAATACCTCCCCTTACTTCCACAGTGATCGCTTGTTATCTGACGGTTTACTTTGTTAAAAAGAACCCATTTTAGCGAGTTATCCATATTCGATGCACTGTGGAAGTAAGGTGATCAGCGCTTAGCTGAAGCTTGGGCTACCTGTGCTTAATGTCACGCGAAACCTAGTTGGAGCCAGTCTATAAATATAAATAGCACCTGCACCATGTAAGTAAGGTATTATTGTTGAGAATTTGACTGTACCTATTTATTCCTAGGAGTGGTCGTAAATATCCCTATTCAAACTCTTATAATTTCGCCATGACTCCTATTTCGCAAGATGATCATCCCACAGCTGGAGGTTGGGCGGCCTGTGCTCGATGTCACGCAAAACCTAGTTGGATCCAGTCCACAAATATAAATAACGTCTGGTTCAAAGTACATTGTAAAATCAGTCTGCATCGTCACGATGGAGTCTAAGTTAACTGCTTCTTATTTGTCATTTATTTTTCTCATACTTTCTCTCAGCTTCTGCTCATCTAAATACACTGCTGCGGTGTACGAACACGTTACGTTCTTTGTAATGGAAAACAAGGCAGAGGTAACTCGCTCTGGAGCTTTGGAAATCATGAAGAAAAATCTCGCTGTTTTCGAGACGAAAGCTGTCTTGGCGAAATCTAAGGGGGCAGAGATCATAGTTTTCCCGGAAGATGGAATATATGGTTTCGATTACACCCGTGAACAGATTCTTCCCTTTTTAGAAGTCATTCCAAATCCTTCCCAACTGGAGAAGAGCTGGAATCCCTGCAATGATCCAGCCCGCTATAGCAACATTGAAGTGTTAAGAGAACTAAGCTGTATCGCTCAAAACTCTTCCATTGCAGTGGTAGCCAATATGGGTGATGTGCAGTACTGTGAAGAGTCAGATCCTCACTGTCCGGGAGATGGCAGATACCAGTTTAATACAGATGTTGTGTTCGATACGGATGGTACAATGCTAGCAAAATATCACAAACAGCACCTGTTTCACGAGAAAGCGTTCAACACTCCCCAAAAACCGGAAATCGTAATTTTTAAGACATCATTTGGAGTCAAGTTTGGTGTGTTTACTTGCTTCGACATGGTCTTCCGTGATCCAGCGATTGAACTTGTGGAAAAGTATGGCATACGGAACATTGTCTTTCCAACTGCTTGGATGGATGGCTTTCCTATCATGGCTTCAGTTGAGTATCAACAGGCATGGTCAAGATTGACATGTGTCAATCTCTTAGCAGCCAATCAGCATTTCCCTCTTGCAGATATGGTAGGAAGTGGAATTTACTCTTGTGGAGATCCATTATCGTATGTGTATGATATGAAGACATTTGAAGGACACCTCCTTGTTGCGCAGTTACCAGATTTAAATCAAGAATGCTATCAGCAACCTTGTCAATCAGTATCACTTCCATCAACAAAAAATGATGACTTCAAGCAAGAAGGATGGCAAGAAGGAGTGCCGTTCCATTCCAAGTTGATGAATGACATGTACACATTTGTCAAACTTGACAGTGCTGAGGCTCAGGTCTCAGTCTGTGGGAGTGAGCTTTGTTGCCATGCAAGCTACATTACACAAAGTCAAAAGCCTTTCAGTGGAGAAATGTTTGCATTAGGAGCTTTCAATGGTCACCATGACCCAGAGGGTTACATACTCCAGGCTTGTGTTTTGATAAAATGCTCCAGCATGGAGGAGTCATCCTGTGGTACTGCCACTCAGACTTCATCAACTGTATTCAAATCATTTCATCTGATGGGGAACTTTTCAACAAAGGCTTATGTTTTTCCAGCTGTTCTGGCTTCTGACGTGGAACTTATACCAGCTGAGGCAATGTCGATATCAGGAAATGTTATGAGTGTAGACTCCTTTAACAAGCCTCTAGTATCAGCTGTTCTTGTTGGTCGAGTTTTTGAAACTGATCATGTTGAAAATTAGTAACCATCATTACATTTGCTTCTTTGAGTCTGCTAAGTGAAGAGAAAAAGTGAAAATGTACAGGGTATAGCCCCAAATATTACAATCATGAAGTTATGCAGGATTTGTAGAGTCTGTTCACATTGTGCAATTAAAGCAGTTCTATTTGGCAATAAATTATGTGTTCAAATTTTTTATTTTGATATGAGATCAGTCATGCAGAGCAAAATGACTCACACTTGCAGGAAATCAGAACTCATACAAATATTCTACTTAGTGCTGAATTCTGAGGTTAGAGACATTATATCTGTTTTTTATTTTCATAATGTAGTTAAGAACTAGAAATTTGAATTTGATTGTAATGGCTGCGAAGATTATGCAATGAAACCTATTTAAAATGTTAATCAGACACCGTTAAAAACCTAGCAGTCAGTAGTTATACTAGTTATTCTTATTGTCTGTCATGTTAATTCAGAGAATTTGGCATTGGATCAACTAATAATCTCCTAATAGATAGTTTTCTTTATTCTAATCACTTGTGTGTTTAATATTGTACAATTATAGCATATCATCATCATTTGACAGTGGTTTACATTGTTAGTGCAATGCTTCACCTTCTGTCATAACATGTCCTCAATCTAGGTTATTTAATGAGTGGCTTAACCCCTGATTGTGCATGATAATTTCTACAAGATGATATCTGCTAGACCACTAATGTTGCCTTATGCACTGAAAGAGTAGCCTGGAAATGCAGTCTTCCCCCCCTCCCCCCTGCCCCCAGAGAATGCACTCTAGCTACACACATTTAGCCATGTGTACAGAGTATGGCTAGGAGACAAGTAATACAGAAAATGCATTTAAAGAGGAATTTATGAAATGTTGAGTTAGGTAGCTATTACATGAGGAGCCTTATTGTGTTAAAAGTCACAAGACTCTTTTAACCCTTCAGCTCCTAAGATCTCATCAGTAATTCTCCTTATCTTCTGCCATATTTTGGACAATTTGGTATTAGATCAACTACAAATCCCCAAATTAATATTTTTCTTTATTCTCATTACTTGTCTGCTTGATATTGTACTGATATTTTAAGGAGAAGTTCTGTCTTGGTCACTCATGAGAGTTAAAGGGTTAAAAGGAAAAATGCCCCTTTAGGGTGGACTATCATATTAACTTAATTGCCATAACATAACAGAAAAAGAATGTATTTTACCTGACATTTTTGCTTAGTTCAGGTTGTGTAGCAATCTCAGGCTCAATTGGGAGTCTATTGCTGATAACCACAAGTTTTTCCTGAGTGCAAGTTTTGTTTTGTTTTGAAGTTCATACAATGTTAGGGATGAAAAGTGTGGAATTTAAACAAAGTTCATTACTTGAATGTTTAACTCTATTATTATTTAATTAAATTACT